CCTAAGGAATTCACGGTGTTTTGGCTTGCTGGCTTGGGAAGTTTAGATTCAGTCTGGAGAGTTCTGTCTTTGAGGTGGAAGCTAATAAACGCAACAGAACTGTATCAGTACTGTCTCGTGGAGTTCTTTGGGCTGAACTTGACATCAATTTCTCCAAACTCAATCTAAACTTCCCAAGCCAGCAAGCCAAAACACTGTAAATTCCTTAGAGTGGGGCCAGTCTCATCTTCTTAACCTTCCCACGCTCCTGTTGGGGGTTAAGAAAATGCTTATCTCCCCGAGCGCGGCCTTCATCAAACCATTCCATCACACTGCCCATCTTAAAACACAAATCTGGGCAACTTACAACAACAATAAAACCCAGAGCTATAAAAACCATAAAACCAAAACAAAACCCAGTACCTTAATCGTCCCCTTGGGATGCTCCACAACCAAATCCAGGCATCCTCACTCAAGTAAAAAGCCAGGTCTTGATGGCCTTCCGAAAGGCTAAAAGGATGGGGCCGGCCAGATTATTGGGGGGAGGGTGTTCCATAAGGTAAGGGGAGCCACAGAAAAGACACGCTTCCAAGATTCCACTAAACAGCAAGATTTCAGGGAAGGGACTGAATGATTCCGTGTGTTCACTGGGTCTTTCTACTAATTTATTATTCTTTGTTCTGCTCAATGGGAAATCATGGTTATTTTACACATACATAACTATTTTTGTTTTGTCAGGGAGAAGTAAAATATAAAGTACGGTGGAAAGGCTACGCACCAGATGATGATACCTGGGAACCTGAGGAACATTTGAAAGATTGTAAAGAAGTTCTTCTTGAGTTTCGAAAGAAAATGCTGGATATTAAATCTAAGCCTGTTAAAAAAGAGGTACAGGTATGTTTGGTTTCAGACCATTTACTCAATTTGTTTCAAGCCATTTTTCATAATCATGAATCCTACTCTCTATAGAGTGTCATTACCCCCCACACCCCTGAAGCTCTGCTTCTCTCCCTATTGCTTTTTTCTGAAATGTATCTCATACCTGCTGAATTACAGGTAGTCCTCAGTTACCAACCACTCATTTGGAACCATTCAAAGTTACAACACTGCTGAATGAATGGTACTTAAAATCAGTCCTTGAAGTTCTGGCCTTCCCAGCACCCTGCGGTCCCGTGATCTGGGCACTTGGCAACCGGCTTGCACTTATGATGGTTGCAGCATCCCGCGGTCACGTGATCATCGTTTGTGACTTTCCCTGCTGGCTTCCCACAAGTAAAGTCAATGTGGAATCTAGCAGGGAAGGTAAAAAGTTGTCCTGGTAAGTCACTCCCTTTCCTGCCTGCTTTTTCTCCCAAGGAGTCCCTAGGTGGCAGGGCAAGTGCAGTCAAATTTGGCCATCTTGATCTATTTTGCCCTTTGTTTAACCTGCAGATTTTCATCTGTGTACTAAAGCAATGTCCATTCATTATGAAGACATTGGATACGGTTTTGCCCATAATTATTAATTCATTTAAGAACAGGTAACACACTAAAAGGCAAATTAATCGAAATCTATCAGCTTACTTGTAACCATTAGGGAGTAGATATTCTCACCATGTTACACCAATTTTATACCACCTGCTTTGTTTGTTTGTCTGTTCGTTTTCTGACCTAATTTGAAATGCTGATACTGACTTTAAAATGTCTTAATTATTTTGAATCAAGCTTCTTAAGGGGCAGCCTATATTCTTATGTACCCGCCTACTCACACACAGAAAGGGCTACTGAGACATTGTGATGCTAGGTAAAATAAGAGGCAGAGTTTTCTTGCTGGTGCCCCCTACTTGCAGAATTTTATCCTTGCTGTTTTCTTTTAGAAAGGTACAACATGTTCAAGGCTGCTTCTAATTAAGAAAATAACTTTGTGGATTTATTGCTAATGTGCTTCAATTATGGGATTGAAATTATTTAATTTCTCTTTTTTCTTGTACTTTTGATTTTTAATATTAATAATTTTAAATGCACTATATATACTGCTGTGCAAAAACAGTATATTATAAATATATAATACAGCTTGTTCTATCAGAACTAAACTATAAATTTAAACATCGTTTAATGTTGTTTTCAAAATTTAATGTTTCAGTCCAAAAACTCTGCATATCAACAGGTGGATAGAGTGAAATTCTCACTTGTGTTAATTGAATGGCAATTCTTTGGCCATGTGACAACTCTGATGAAATGGAGAAAGTCTTCAAAAATATATGATTGGTCAAAGAAAAAGGGTTTTAAAAATCGTACAGGAAATAGCCAGATAGTTTGATCTCAGATCCTGGATTATATCTTCCTCCGTATAAGGGATCAAATTTGAAAGCATTTTTGAATATACTGAAGTTACTGTAAGATTATATTATTCTATTATGCTAATCTACTCTAGATTATATATTAAGTGTTTAAGTGTCCCCTCTTTTTCTCCCTTTTATAGAAACTGCCTTTAAATGATGATCTTTTTGAAGCAGATTCTGAAGCAGATAGTGATTGGCAAAGTGATACAAAAGGGGACCGATCGCCAAAGAAGAAAAAGAAAAAATCTAAAGACAAAGAAGATAAAAACCAAGATGAAATACAAAAGAAAAAAACTAAACTAGCCAAAGTTAAAGAAAAACCAGGGCTAGAACGTGAAAATTCTTCTGACAGTTTGGCTTCAGATTCAAAACCAAAGAAAAGGACTTCTGAGTCAAAGGAAGACATTAAAGATTCCAAAAAACAAAGGCGAGAGGATATAAAAGATAACAGTAAAAAAAAAGAAGTCAAAGATGGAAAGAAAAAAATGAAAGAGGAGAGTAAAGAAAATAAACATATGCAAAAAGGGAAACACAGTGTTAATAATTTAGATGCTGAATCTAGTATGCAAGATGATTCTTTTTCTCAAGCTGCAGATTTTGAAAGTGAAGATTTAGACTCTGATAGCAGTGAGGAAAAATATAGGACATCTTCTGGCAAATACCGGTTAGAAGAGGAGGTCTTCGTTTCAGTTCAACAGCCCGATAGTACTTCAAGCACAGATGATAGTTCTGAAATGAGGGTTAAGAAGAAGAAAAAGAAACACAAAAAGGTTGAGGAGCTAGAAGAAAATAGAAGAGGAGACAAAATTTTGGAGAAGAAATGCACACAGAAAAAGCAGAAGGCTCCAGAGAAAACAAAAGCTGCTCCTGAGCTTGAAAATAAGAGGCCGTCTATATCTGCTCTGACACAGAAGGCTTTGAAATTGTCTGTTGATGAACGAGGATGCAAGCCCGGCGATACAGTAGGGGAAGTAAGCAATAACACAAAACTGAAAAGCAAAGAGGGAAAGTCAATCCAATCTTATGCTGGGAATGTGCTTCAAAAGTCAGCCATTCCTGAAAGCAAAGAAAAGAATATAAATTGGAGAACTGACGAGGAGAAAATAAAAGAGAAGCCTTCTCAGCATTCTCTAGGGGAGAGTCTTTTTGAAAAATTTACAATGGATGTTGAATGCAGTAAAGGAGAGAGCATAGTTGGTAAGAAGAATCTCTCCAAAAGTGAGCTGAATGTTGAAGAAATCCCAAAGGAAAGAAGCATTTTATCTAAGGTAATCAATATTGGATGACACAGAATTAAAATTTGTTTACCGTACCTTGTTTCCTTTATTCCAATTTTTTTTCTTTACTTAATCATGTGTACATGCACACTTTTTTCCTTTTTAGGGATTTCTTTTTATCTTTTTTTATCACTCTTAGTGTTTAAGAGTCAAAATAAATCATTTTGAAGCAATTTGAATTGAGATAGCACTTAAATTTCCTATCTTGAATATTTGTTTTGTGTATTCTGCCATATTACACTATTTCCACTCCCCAGATTATGTAAGTAATCTCAAAGCAATTTGATTAATGCAAGATAATCAGACTGTTATGTAAACCTTCATTGAAATGATTGTGTTATTTCTACTTAGGTGAAGTGCTATTCAAGGGCTAAATCTGCACTGACCTACTATTTTACCCTTTAGGAGTAAAAGGGTTCAGTTATCAGCTTGTGGGATTTATTTACCTGTGAGGAAGTTAACATTTTTTATGACAACCATTGATTATTTGTTATAAAACTGAAAGGACCTTAGACAGGATCCAGTGAAGTGTGTGTGTGGGTGAGAGAAGGTTTGGGAACTTTTATTTTCTGAGAGAATATTTTGCCATTCCACTCTAAAGACAGAAGGCTGCTTTTAAAATAAAGGAATGTACTTAAATGCTGAGAAAATCCTGTTGGATATGCTTAATGCCTCTAATACATCAAAGTAAGTTTTTTCAGTCCTGGACTTCTCATTAATTTTTACGTGATTTAAGTTGCCCTTATGTCCATAAATTTATAGCTTTGCCCTGAAATAAGTTAACTGTTACTTAACTGTCAGTTAACTACTCAGTTTATATATTTTGCTCTTCTGGAAATTAATGGCAATCCTTATATTTTTTTAATTAACTGAAGAGAAGAATGAGTTCATATATTTCAAGTTGTGTTAGTTTTGTTGCCATCTGTTTCCAGAACTCTTGTTTATGTTTATTTTTCACTTTTAGGAAAAGGAAACCAAAAAAAGCGAAACAAAAGAGAAACTCCTGAAGAAATTAGACTCTGAAAAGGAAGAAAAAAACAGAAAAGAGCAAAGGGGATTCAAAAGTAAGGCTGAAATAATAAATCATAAAATAATTTTTTAGAATATCAATGTAATCTTGCTTCAGTCTATACAGTACAATATGTACTTTTCATTGTTGAAAATCTGATAGTTTTGCAATCATGCTTACCACTAGCCATGTTTGGCACAAATTTTTTTATTCTCGTTGGTTGAATCCAAATGTAGGTGAGTGCAGAGGAGCGAGTGAGAGCCCTTTCCTGTATATTATTTCACAAATGCTTTACAGTGGGTCAGAAGACCATGTTGAATGAAATAGGTTGTATGACGTTTACTGATAGAAAAGGGGAAGGAATTGTTACATGACTCCCACTTTAAAGGCTGCCCTAACTAATAAATAGCCTTTATGCTCACATGACATCAGTAAGTTTGTACATCTGTACCTTAAGGCTTGTGTAGAGATGAACATCTGCTGTTGGGATGAGGCTGTTGGGATGAGTTATACTTACAGTGGGGCAAAAAAGTATTTAGTCAGCCACCAATTGTGCAAG